AAAAATAGTTAAAAGTAATAAGTAATAAATAAAAAGAATATTGTTGAAATTCTAAATCAACTGTATATATTTAATTCATACCCGATTTCATGTGTAACTGTAAAATAAACAGTGGTATAATGAAATGTAGTCTGCCATAATTGGTACGGTAGAATAAATATGAGGATTAACAGAAAGCAAATCTGTTTCCATTACTAAAATGTAAAAGTGGACAAACACCCCTATTTTATTAATCGCCAGTTTTGTTGTAAACAGTTTTATTATTTTTTTTTTTTGATAATTCATATACTTATCTTTGAATTCATTGTTTTGATAGAAGGAATACCTAAAAATTTCGAGTGAATTATGTTGTTAATTTAAAACTGTTGTTAAATAAGTACTTAATAGTTTTCGCCTGCTAAGGTATGAATTTTTTATTTCCAGAACGGATTTGTGGAGTGTCGTAGTGAGTACACATGTCCACCAATCGATGGTTGCTACATGCTGATTGAAGGGACAGAAGATGGTTGTTGTCAAAGATGCAAAGGTAAATATGTACTTGTTTACAAAAGGTAATTATATTAGATACTGTGATTTCTATTCCTTTGGTTAGTAAAATAATTAAACGTTCTGAGATACACATCTGTTACATGTAGGTACACTTCGTTTAGTTTCTGTAGCGATGTGACCTTCAGTTTGATCGGCGGAAAGTAGAAAAGAACAGCACTAGGCCAGAAAAGAAAGGAGACAACAGTCGGCCAAACTCTCAATCGGTGAGGAGCGTATAGTCCGTATACACGGAAAAATTGACCATTTTATCCACTACAATTGCATTGCTCAAATGTGCTGTTATTGGTACACCAATTACTACTGAAAATATCAACGAGATGTTTATTTATATTTGAAGACATATTAAAGGCTTTAACGCTTTTTTTCGACTCGCACTACTATTCATGATTGAACAAAACTTTTGGCAGGTACTGTACGAAAAAGTATGTTTATTGAGCAACAGTCGAGAGTTTACTGCGCTTTTTTTTCCCTACCTACGATTTTGCCAGCACGCATCCAAGACATTGGAAGGGGAATGTTTCATACGATTCGGTGACTCAGAATCGGCGGCTATATTATCGCATGAAACGTCCTAGCAATCCTAATTAAAGGGTTGCAGGTTTTTGTTGGGGATTGAAAAAACACTGTAAATGTAGTAGAATCTATTGAATCTATTTACAATATATACAATGCCTTCAATCGGCGTACACTAGGTGAAACAAGAACGGTGAATAAACGGTGAATAAAACGGTGAATAAAACGGTGAATAAAACGGTGAATGAACGGTGAAATGAACGAAACGTGCGACTTGGCAGCAACCTTCGTACTCTCCTCTTGGTACCGATGGCACGCTACTTAAGGGTGAAAAGGTGGTGAGATAGAGAAAGACAGCACAGAAGTATTAGTAATCGGCAAGAGAAGGATAGGCGAAATGGTGGTCGAAAGTACAGAAAAGTCATAAATAAAGGAGAAAATAAGGACAGATAGATAAGATGTAGAGAGAGACGATGAAATAGAAAGCGAGGTACTTGACAATTTACAACATACTCCCCCCGTTGAGAGGGTGAGTTACCCGATCAACAAAAATGAAAATTAAACTTAAAGTTAAAAGTAACTTAAACTAAACTGAAACAATTATTAATACAATATATAACTAAAGGAATTAACTTCGAGTCCCTTTTATTGAAATATTCAATCCTTATTACTATCACTTTGATTAATATTATCAATTGGTAACGGTGCTAATTGTTTTACACAACGTTTCACAGTCCCTTTCGCGGTTTTCACTGTCACTACACGAATTACACCATCGACACCAGGATGGACTTTCACTACGCGTCCCAGGGGCCAATGTAGAGGAGGCATGTTGTCTTCTCGTAGTAGAACAATGCTGTTTTCAACGATTGGATGTTGACCGCTGGTCCATTTACAACGATTTGAAAGTTCGTTGAGGTATTCGTTTTTCCAACGGTTCCAGAAATGTTGTTTTAATTTCTGAAGGAACTGCCAAACGGATAAACGGTTGGAGGGTACTTCTGAATAGTCTCGTTCGCGTAGGCTCGTTAACGAATCACCGGTAAGGAAATGGCTGGGTGTTAGAACTAGTAAGTCCTGAGGATCAGAGGATATGGGGGCTAAAGGGCGTGAATTCAGTATAGCTTCGATCTCGATAATCAGCGTATTGAATTGTTCTAGGTGAAGTAGGATGTTATGACCGACCACTCTTTTCAAATGATGTTTAAATGCCTTAACCCTTATAAGTTTATTAAATGATGAGAAGCGGGTAAAAATCGACCATAAATAATTATCGGCAGGATCATTTGGTTTTGTTAGAAAACATGATACCTTGCGTAACTCTGTAATAGGTGTTATTTCATTTATGGACCAATTATAGTTTGTATTTAACCATTCTGGACCATGTTGCCAAAGGGAAGGACGCACGAACTCCGCAGGTAGCAAGCCCCTTGAAGCAAGATCAGCCGGGTTGTCGTGTATCCGTACGTGGTACCAATCATTTATATTGGTATTTGCCTGGATATTTGAACATCTGTTTGAAACAAAAGGTAAAAGTCTTTTTGATGGAGTTCGAAGCCAATGTAAGACGATCATCGAATCCGTCCAAAAATATACACTATCCAACTTACAAGGAATGGCGTCCTTTACGATGTTATATAATTTAGTAAGCAATGCAGCCCCGCATAATTCCAGCTTCGGAATTGTCAGCCTTTTAAGTGGCGCAACCTTTGACTTAGCGCATAATAACTCGGTGTACACCTTATTGTCCCAATCGACAGACCTTAAGTACATACAAGCCCCATATGCGTTTTCACTAGCGTCGCAAAAACCATGTAGTTGAATTGACCGGGCGTTGCTAATGACAGTTTTCCTTTTAAAGGAAAGGTTATTGAGCGCAGGAAGTTGATTATAATATTGGACCCATTTACAGTGAAGATCCATCGGTAACGTTTCATCCCAATCTAGCTTAAGTGACCATAGCCTCTGTATTAGAATTTTCGCTACTATAATCACTGGTGATAAAAGACCAAGTGGGTCAAAAATGCTGGCTGTTTGAGATAGTATTTGGCGCTTGGTAACACGGTCACTCAAATTACATGCTCGTACTTTATATATAATACTATCAGATGTTGAATCCCACGAAACGCCTAATGTTTTAATTGTAGACGATTGTCCAATTTGAAGATGGGGGTTAATACTTTCTTTAGGGAGATCTTTTAGTAAATTAGGATCATTAGAAGCCCATTGCCTTATTTTCAATTGACCTCGTTCTAACAGACTGATAAGTTCATCTCTTATAGTGACTGCCTCTTCTATTGTATCTGCTCCGGTTATTGCGTCGTCCACATACATATCTTCCTTAACGATTCTGGAAGCTATAGGAAAATCAGCTGCTTCATCATCAGCTAACTGATGTAAACAAGCAATAGCGAGAAACGGTGCGGGCCCAACTCCAAAAGTAACAGTATTCAATTCATATGTTTGAATTTTATTATCGTCATCTCTCCACAAAATTCGTTGGTAACGTCTGTCTTCGGGGCGAACTAAAAATTGTCTATACATTTTCTCAATGTCACCTGTAATAACGATTTGATGGATTCGAAATCGCAGCAACAAAGAGAAAAGATCACTCTGTATAGTAGGTCCCACCATCAGGATATCATTTAATGATATGCCTGTACTGGACTTGGCTGACCCATCAAAGACAACACGGACCTTTGTAGTTAAGCTACCTTCTTTCAGTACTGCATGGTGAGGAAAATAATAATTTGAACCTTCTGTTTGTTCATGAGTGACCTTTGACATATGACCTAGAGTTAAGTATTCTGTGAGAACGGCATGATATTGATCCTTTAATTCAGTATCCCTTGTTAATTTTCTCTCCAGATTATACAATCGTTTTAATGCCATTGCATAAGATTCACCTAAATCTGGTTTTCTTTCATTGAACGGCAAGGCGACTACATAACGACCATCCTGATTGCGGGTGACGTGTTGTTGAAAATGTTGAACACATGTTTGTTCTTCAGAGGTGAATGTTTTACCTGGTGATCCTTCTTCAACTTCCCAGAATTTCGCTAAGTCGAAATATATTTCGTTTGTCATATGACATGTACGAGTTGGTGATACTTTTATTGACGGCGCGCTCCCCCCGATGACCCATCCAAGTCGTGTTTTTTGTAAATACAATTCGATTTCCTTATCTGATTGTATTTGCATCTGTCCTACACAAAACAATGACAAGGCGACCCCGGCTCCAAGTAATAAATCTATTTCTGCGGGTTTATGGAAGTTAGGATCGGCTAATTTCAAATTATGAGGAATCTTAATATTTTCTCTATGAATAGGTTGGTCAGGTATACGCTGAGATATACAAGGAACTACCAAAAATGTAAGTGATCGTTCGTATCTATTGTCCCTTGATTTTATGACTGCGTTGACGGTACCCCTTGCGACAGTTGTTAATGTGTTTAAGGCACCGATGGAAACATTACATTTTTCTATCTTGAGTCCTAAGGCATTTGCTAAATCTTCAGTCATAAAATTCGATGTGGCACAAGTGTCAATAAGGGTGCGAGCTTGAATTGATTTGTCTCGGCAATTGAAAACTTGGACGACAGCAGTAACCATTAAATCACTCGTTGCTGAATTGAGTACAAGTGCAACAGACCTGTCAGGTTTATGAGGGACATCTTCCGCCCTTTGTGAAGTGGGCAATGATGTATTTTCCTTTAGAGTCGGCGATGGAGACGAAGTGGGTGTATTTCCATTAATTTTGGACCGTTGACCTTTTTCTGCATGTCGGTGTAAGAGAGTGTGATGACGTCCTTGGCATTTATTGCAGCCCTTTCTGGAACCACAGAGAGAATATCCGTGCCCATAAGACAGACAATTGTAACAAAGTTTTGCCTTTGCCACGGCATTTCCTCTTTCTTCTGCAGATAATTTATGAAATGGTTCACACTGGTAAATGGTATGAGAATCTGAACAAATGGGACATGTGCGCTTGTTTGTAAAGAAAGAATGGGTTCGGGTGCTGTGATTATGTTGTTTCCTGAATTTGTCTACTTCAATTTTTGGAGAACTGGTTTCCTTTGTTGATGAAAACGTCGAGCACTTGGATCTTTTTTCTAAGAATTTCAACAAGGTTTTATAGCTGGGTACTTCATTGTTGTCTAAAGTCATTTCCCAATGCCATGCTGTTGCTGGATTAATTTTAGATAAAATTAAATCTGTGAGGAGCCTTTAGATTTTCTAGTGACCTCATATGTTGATTAAATATGTCAACCAGATTACCTAAAGCTACCGGTGTATCCTTTTGTAATCGAGGATACTCACGAAGAATTGCCCAATGTCGCATCATGTTCTGACGGGTGCAATCGTACTTTTCTTTTAAGATTGACAATGCAGTGTGGTAATTGTCGTTGGTAGTCTGTAATGACTCAATTGCAGCATATGCCTTACCTTTCACAGACATGCGTA